TAACTTCATCATGTATGAGCTATGTATTCTTGAACTATTTATTTATCTAAACCTTACTTTACTTATCTATAAAGTAGGAATAATCCTGCTTACATAGTGGATTTGTTATAATGCTAAATAAGAAAATTTATGTATAGTGTTTAAAACAATGCCTGGGTGCTTAATAAATAGTCATTGCTATCACTAGTGCTAATATCATCATCATTATCATCTTTATACTAACATTTTATATAAGACTTTCATTAAAAATAAAAATTATCAGGGCCAGTCCCGTGGCCGAGTGGATTAATTTGCACGCTCTGCTTCGGGGGCCCAGTGTTTCACAGTTCAAATCCTTGGTGTAGACATGGCACCACTCATCAGGCCATGCTGAGGGGCTGTCCCACATAGCAGAGCCAGAAGGACCTAAAACTAGAATATACAACTATGTGCTGGGGGGATTTGGGGAGAAAAAGCAGAAAAAAACCCCAACAAGATTGGCAACAATTGTTAGCTCAGGTGCCAATCTTTAAAAAATAAATAAATAAATAAATAAAATAAAAATATCATCTGCTCAAAGAAAAATGCTCCAATAATACCTTCAGGCAAATGCTTCAGGCTTCTGATTCCATAATACAGTGTTTTGCAGATACTATGGGTTCACAGTGACTGAATGGTACTCATGGAATTCTTCGCAATAAATATGGTATCAGATGATCATGTTTTCTTGTACACTTGCTTGATACCAACATGGTGGCCTGGCTTCATTTCCTCTAAATTTGTCCTGACTTATAACCACAAAGGCAAAGTCGACTGAGTATATGGTAATTACCCACATAATATCTGTAGTAACATACGCAGTTATGTGCATGGGTGCTTCTTCACAAAAACGCTGCAAGACAGCTTTTCCTATCCCATTTTTGCAGCTGATAAAATCAAGATTTGGAGAGGGCAAGTGATTTGCCCAAGGTTCCATATGAGCAAGAGTTTTTCACAATGATATTGTGCTTTCACATAGAAAGAAATATTCTGTGTTTAAGATGAGAGGGAGGGTTAGCAGATACTTCTTCACTCCTCTGATTGAAAATGTTTATTCTCTGAATCTGGACACCTAGAGAACATGGCTACTCTGAAATAAGTCCATGAAAAACCAAATAATTTAGTTATTCCTCATTGGAAGTGAACTGAATGAACAAACCCACATGGAAGATTCTAGAGGTTTAATTCTGAATACTCAAAAACATAAAAGTTGAGGTAATCTCTTCACTTTTCATACATGAGAAAGGTCACTGTATTGTGCAAATGCTGTAAAGTAAAGAACACAAAGCTCTACAGGAAAGAAAAGACGGCGATCTCCAACGCTCACCAGGCATAGTGGATTTCAGGAGTGAGTGAGCAGCCTCTGCTCACTCTCCCTCCCCTCCAGCAGCCTCCCTTTAACTTCAGCATGGAGCTTTTTAGTATTTTTCCATTGGAGATAAGTAAATTAGAATTATCTGGAGTCTGTTGAGAATAATGGCAAAAAACAGATGACCCAACAAGTCTGGTCTATCAACGTCTGGATGAGCTAATTACTTTCTGGAATGACAGGGGATAGTTGAGGCAGGAAAAAAGTACATCAGATTATAATATTAATGCCAAATATTATACTGGTTTTTACTTCGATAAAATAAGATGATGGCAGCTTGTCAAATAGTGCTAAGTGATACAATGTAATTTTATAATAATTATTTGATGGACACCCTGGAAATGGAAATTTTATAATTATACTTAATTTTACTACTAGACTACATTTAATAATACTTAAAGAAGTATGTATGTCTCTTAAATAGTAAAAGTTACACATTAAGTGTCCTATCTTACACATCATACGAAAATCTTATCAAAAATTTCAGTCAAGGCATTTTTCTTAAAAATGCTACACACATGCATTTTATATTCTATTTGTAAATAGATACTGATAGACTCTTGGATAGCCAGGTCTTATAATAATGATTTTGACATGGAATCCATAAGGAGTTTGGGTTCTTAGCTAGAAAACAAAATAAGGAAATGCAGTTGTGGCCTCAGTTATTTTTCCACTTCAGTGAGAGCTTCTTAGACATTAGGAATAAGGTGTTGCATCTGGGCGCGTGGATGTCAACCCATCAAGCAAGAATTGTTTTGTGTGTCTCGCAGCACTTTGGTTTCATCTGCAGAACCATTTCTCTTCCATCTTAGTGGCTCATGTAGAATTAATATTCTTTGGCCCTCAAGATGATTGTAGTCTACCAGGGAGAGTCATTAATTGGTGATTAATTCGTTCAAGGATTGGTATGTGATGTGCCCCAATCAAACACAAGAAAAGCTCTCTTTTCACTAGAGTTGTGCTGGCAGAATAAGCCTGGAGCTTCCCACCACCCGAGGAGAAAATTTCTGAGATTCAAGCCCACAAAAGAAAGAAGAGGTAGAACATAGAGAGAGACAGCCTGGGGACAAAGTTTGAGCAGCTGGATTAAGCTGTTTCTGAAATCCAGACTATCCCTGGACTCTCAGTTATCTGAGCAGATGAATCTCCCTACCCCCAACACACACACAGGCACACACATACACACACACACACACTCACTCACTTTAATATTTTTTGCACAAGCCAATTTCACTTGAATTTCTATTACTTGAAAACAAAAGAGCTCCAACTAATAAAGAATATATGCCTTACGAAAATGCCTTGCGTATTAGAGATTTTCAATTCAATACTTATTAAATCTAAATTGCCAAACTCTTCCAACTACAAAACTCTTGCTCTGAGGAGGCTTATCATACCTGCAGCCTGTGAAGACAGAAGGCTTCAGAACCCATGGGGTGCTGGTAGGAGGGCTTCCTGGGGTCATATTTTCCATGACTTGAATGATCCCTAGTACATTCCCAGAATATTAAGGTATTCAGAGAAATGTGGGACATACTCTGCGGGAGCTATCCCCTCCCTCCCAAAGCATCCAATACTGAATACTAGGAATCAGCATCAGGGCTCTGAAGTCCCACTAGGAGATCAGAGTAGAATCTGCAGCAGAGTTTGCCCAAGTGTGTTTCCCAGAGCACTAATTTCAATGGATGTCCATTGGAAAGAGAGAGAGAGAAAAATACATATATATATCATATAGTCAAATGAGTTAAACAGGGTTTTTGTTTTCTCTTTTTACTACAGGACTTCTCAGAGCATTAATACCAGCAGGAATTATGAGTTTTCGAGAGAGGCCGCAATAAGCAATACTTGGACATGGAGCTCCTTCTGTAATCTTAGGGGTCTGTGGAATGCACTCTGGGAAGTGTTACACTGTCACATCCATTCTTTGTGATTTCTGGACATCAAAGCACGAGTGGTTTGAGAGAATTTACTCATCATGTAACAGTGGCAAGGGGAAAGGCAGAGTCACCTAGCACAAAGAGTAGAGGAGATGGAATTGCCAAGACCTAGATTCAAATTTGGCTCCATTTTTAGTTTGCCATAACTATGGACAATCACACTACCTATCTCAGTCACAAGGTCAAATTGTGTAAAGTGAAAAAAACACTACCTATCTCACTGAGCTGTCTGAAAGCTTCATGCAGGGAGAACATATTCTAATATATATAACTCAGACCCTAAGTTAGACACATGTGTTTGAATCCACCTCAATCATTTATTAGCTATGTGATCAGAGCAAATTACTGAATCTGCCAAAGTCTCAACTTCACCTTTTGTTAAATAGGGTGGGTAGTATGTTAATTACCTCCTGGGGGTATTAATGTGAGGATTAAGTGAAATAATGCATATATAGTAGTTATTGCAGTTCCTGCTATCTGAACTACAATACCAACTGTTCTTGTAAGTTCAACAATATCAAATTACCTTTTGTAGGTTAAAACCTGTTAAACAGCAGGAATTCACTGTTCATCATCATAGTATGTCAAATGTTTATTACACTTTCTGACAGGCATTCATCATTTATTTATCTGGTCTATTAATCAATATTTATTTAGTGCTTTTTTTTGTTCAGGCAGCATGGCAGACCAAGGATAGATAGGTGATTAAGACATAGTCCTAGCCCTCAGAAAATACAGAGTAGACTAGAAAGGCAGGCAAAGACAGCTAAATTTTTTCTTACTCATCTTTTTCTCTTTCTTTCTTTTTTTGTGAGGAAGATTGGCCCTGTTGCCACTCCTTCTCCACTTTGTATGTGGGACACAGCCTGGGCTCGGCCCGACAAGTGGTGTGTAGGTCCGCGCTCAGGATCCTAATCCATAAACCCTGGGCCACTGAAGGGGAGAGCACAAACCCAATCATTACACCACTGGGCTGGCCCCTACTTACTCTTTTTTGAACACATAAAATGACAGTCATAAAACAAGGCGATGAAGAGCAATGCGAGAAGTGCCTACAATTCAGTATGGGAGTACCAAGGAGAGGATTCAGGAGTGCACTATAAACGGTGGCTATTATTATCAATGTACAAGGCTAGTACATAGCTGGGCTCAACGAACGCTTTATGAGTTAATTAATTAATTAGTAAGCTTCCATAAATTACTCCAAATTGTTTATTGTTAAAAGCCTTAAGATATATTCAACCATAATACAAACACATAAATATGTTTAAGTTAAACTACTCCATTGAAGATGGAATTACACTTTTGTTATTGTTTTCTTCCTATAACAATATAGCAATCATCGCTCATAAAAGAATGGCTGATTTAAAAATGCAATGGATTTGGATTATGATAGGAGAACAGCTATTCTCTTGGTTCCTGCAGATTATATTGCCATCACAGAGATAAGATATTGTATAACAAAAATTTATTCCCAGTAATTGGTCCTTCATTCCAAGTCATCTTTTGTACTTTTTGCATTCTGAATGTGGGCGATGGTAAGATGGTTCACTATACTATTTCTTTCCACTTTGACAGATCATATTGACATATCCTGGGAAAATCTCACTTCCCTTCTGGCTAAAAGCTCCTTCCAGCATACCACAGGTATTTCACATTAGAAAATGAGTGGTATAGGACCAGTAATTACAGAAGGAAAAGGAATATAATCATATCCTGGTGTGCAGATTGTTTTTTTAGCTTGCAAATTCCCTTTTTCCGGTGTTTCAACTTTCAAAGGCTTATAGTAGTTTAAAGGCAATCCTCTTATAAGTGTACAAATTGTAATGATTATAGGAACAAGTTGTAATTGTTTCTAGCAAGTTTTTAAGAGTCTTTGATGTTATGATTAGTGTTTTATACGTTAATATATTGATAGGGGTGCTTATTTGCTTGTTCCCTTGTATGCTTTTATGGTTTCTAGGTTCAATGTGCAAATAAAACTTTGATCTCAGTAGGTCTATTTGGTTAAAAAAGAAAGCTGAAAGAAATCAAACATGAGAAGCACAGGTTTTGCAATATTTACGAAGAAGAGAGATTAGGGATTTCACTGTAAGAGTACAGAGCCAGGGCCCATAACTTGAATGAAGAGAAAAGCGCCCCCAAACCACACCAAACACGAGGAAGGGCCCATGTTTTGGAGAGCTGATCCCATGAAGCACCATCATGGAGCTGCGACTCCTTTGCTGCCAGGATGTCGCTTTATGACGCAGTCTAGGTTGTGTCACACTGAGCAAATCAAAGGCAGAGCTCTGCAAGCTATCGCTTCCTCTTTCCTGTTTGCCTCCTGCCCTTCAGAAATCACCGTGGGGAAGGAATCTCAGTCTGTGCAACGGTTACCTTTTCAGCTGTCCTCTCATCCTGCGTGATTTCAAGAAACTGGCTGGAATGTAGTGCCTCCTGGAGCATGCACCTTGACCCGAACTGCTCAATTTCAAAAGGAATTCACTTTTTGATAGATAACGCCTGAGACAGGAATCTGGGATTTCATTAAACCAGGCTATCAAAAAAACTAACAGCAAGGAAGGTACTAGTCAAGCCACTCAAATAGAGTTTAGGAAAATGCGTGAGGTGCTAAGTAGTTAATGGTGTAATACTTTTTTGTTTTCTGTTGCACAGAAAATGAAACGAAACGAAACAATAGCTTTGCTGCAAATACAGGTTGGAAAGATTCATAAGGGAAAAAGGAAGAGAGAGGATCAAATTTTACTTTGTACTCCCATTACAGCTCGTTTGGCCCTATTTTGCAACGCTCAGGTTTCAATACTTCCAAAGAGAGAGAGAAAGGATCTTGCATTTACCTTTGCTGTACACAATGCAGTTGTTTTTGTTGTCTTCCACTCCTTGCCAAGTCACATCCAGTAGCCACTTGGGACCAGCAGTCAGCACCATTGGGACCTGAGCCTTTGTCTTCTGTAGAAAGAATGATAACAAACAGATGCCATTTGCTTTCGTTGATTAAAAACTTGAATAATAACTGTACTAATCATTTTATTTTTACAAACAACTAAATCTCTCCAACCATAATCCAAGTCCTTATTCCCCTGTCTCATGATATCTTTCTAAGACGACAGAAGCTGTAAGGCTTTACTGCTTTCACTAATCTGAATGGTAGAATTATTATCAAGGATTTTTTTTTTTTTTCTAAATGATACTGGATCAGATCTCCAAGATTAGACAGATCTCTTGCGGCTCTGAATTATAAAGAGAATGCAGATGACTTTCATTGCAAAGAGCAGAGTGTTTAGAAGTGAACTTTAGACACATTGTACTTTACTATCAACAGGATCTCACTATTTCCTGAAACAGACAGGAAAGAATTTAAAGAATCAGGATCCATTTCAAAGCTCTATCCTGAGCAACATTTATATTAGAGTAGGAATTTATTCTGAATGAATAATGAAATCTACCCAACCCCCTGTGCTAAGTGCGGCTATGCAGTCTGACTGTAGCTGAAATAACAATAATGCTAACGATTCACCTCACATTGTCTCCAGAAAGACTATAAAAGTGGACTTGCGAATAAATTCAAATGCAGAGCAACTACAGCATGACATCCCTCAGTCTGAGAAGCAGAGAAGCAGGGAAGCAGGGAGAAAAGTGCTGCAGTCCTAACAAAATATTTTCAGCGTACGTTTTAAATATAAGCCTCAAAAGGTTCATCATTTTGGGCTGTTTGGCACCCAAATTATTTCTTTAACTATGCTGATAAATTTACATGGCAGGAAACAAGCTGGGGAAGAATAAATCAGTCTTAGCAAGATGGTTGTTTCCCGACGAGTCACGGCGAACTGGCATTTAGACTTTTATCATTCACCAGCCCATGTTCTGTGCATCAAATATCAGGAAACCACAACACAGAGGACAATGCAAGGGTCTCAAGGTAATTTTTGAACTGAATTTTCACCTAGATATGATCCTGCCAAAGAGATCTCAGCCCATTCTGGGACTTTCCCACATGTTATGTGCTATCACAAATTTCCAAAATCGGCATTAACAAGAATTCGCTTGAGGATTCTGGCCATTTCAAATCTCTCAGGAATCTGGAAAACCCGTTTCACCCTCCGAATGACAATGATAGCGCATGAGACACGGATCTATTGTTAACCGCAAACCTATATTTAAAACTATGCATAAAATGAATGCTAATCCATCTCTTAAAGTACCAATTATGAGGCAAGATATACTATTTTTTTAACGGAAAAATCAACCAAGATGGATAAATTTAAAAAGAAGTCTGAAAAAAATATTTCAAATTTTAAAACAGAAGAGGTGGTAAACCCGATCAATTGTAAGAAATACTAGTATACTGATTTTTCATATTCATACTTTGATTAATTTTAAAGTCTTAATTTTTCAACTACATATCTTAATATTCAGCAAGGATAACCATGAAAAACAGTTATCTGACAGCCCCGTAGGATAGAAGTAATTTTATATTATATTATAATTTTTTTTAATAATCTAGGCAAAAAATGTTATCAAGTTATCCTTATGGTTGTCAGTGTTAGTGGGCATTTTTATTTATTTCCATTTTAAAAACAGAATTTTAGGACAAGCAGACTTCTTCAATCTGAAATGATAGTGATCAATATCCAATTAAATGTTAGATCTTAATTATGCATATTTCAGCTCCTGTTACCACTTAAGACATCAGTTCAGACCACAGATCAGGATCAGCAGGTCTCCTCATAGGAGTAGAACAGGTCACAGGGGAGAGGGCACCATTTCGATAAAACTGTGTATAAGGGATTTAGTGGTCTTACTTGTAACATCTGCTCTCTTCTGATTTTAAAGAACAGATTTCAACAACAGGCACCTGGCCCCATTTCTACTGAATTCTCTTATTTCATGGGAAAGACATGCGTTTTAAATTACTTAATCTTTATACACAGTTCTCAAAGCCACGTGGATTTCTACACAACAAATCAGCTTTTACAATTTTCCATAGATAACATGAAAAAGACATCGATCAATTAAATTCTTAAGAGAATCTTTCAGTGTAAAGTAAATCAGTTGATCCTCCAACCATTGCACAAACCAACCAACCAACCCAGTCCTGTGCTTGGTGGTAGGAAGATGAGGAGGTCTTTTTTGGTGAAGGGTACAGACACATAAAAAAAAGTTTGCCATAATGTGAAAAGTAGCTCAGCAGGGAGTGGAACATCATGTGTAAATTGTTTTGGGGTCACTGAAGGGCAAGAGACAAGCTCCTACCCTGTGGATGCTGGGAAGATAGCACAGAGGAGGTCACATGCAGGCAGGATCTTAAAGGATAAACAGGAAGAATTTGCAATTGCTGGTAATAGCATGGGCAAAGTCTGAGTAGTATATAAGAGAGTTGTGTGTATAGGAAATAGTGAGTAGCTCTGGGACTCTTTGGTTTAAGCTCTTATAAAGTCTTTAGAGCTTTTCTTGGTATACAGAAAGCACTAGATAAGTGTTAGCTGTCATCATTATCATTAATATTATATTATCATTATTGATAAGTGGAACGGACATAACAGCATATGTGTCTGGAAGGGCAGGTCAGATCTGGAAGGCGCTTTCCATATCAGGCAGAACATTTTGTGCCGAAATTTCTAAGCAGAAGGAAGCCAGTAAAGATTCTTTCAGCAGGAAGAATAAGGACACTACTACTTATGCTACTTGTGCATGTATTTTGTTTTACATTTCCCTTACTTATTTAGTCCTCATATGTATTTTCAGATAACGAAAACAGAACTTGAAGATTAAATACTTTCTTTAAACAATAATTTAAATAATTTCTTTTAGGTCAAATAGCTTGTGGAAGGTAGAGCCCATATTTATACTTCGCTCTACACGACCACTCTTAGGGTGACCAACCATCCAGTTTTTTCTGGGACTGAAGGATTTCCCAGGATGTTGGACTTTCAGTACTAAAACTAGAAAGTCCTGGACAAACTGGGGTGAGTTGTTCACCTCTCCGTCTACAACCACTGTTAAAACAATATTGGTGGTTTACATCTATTGAGCACTTGCTAAATGTTGGATGTTAAGTACTTCCTCTGAATTATCTGTTTTGATTTTTTCAACTCCGGGAGTTAGGTATTATTTTCTCGATTTTGTACATAAGCAAATTAAGATTTAAAGGAGTTAATTTTGTGGCACAAATAAAAACAGTTACTTAGTATTTTTCCTTAATGATAAGTTAGGCATTATAACTTTTAACACTTCGGAAATATTCATTATATCTTGGCACAGGTTCAATCTGACATTAAGAAATTGAATTGAAAAGAAAACAATTTCTTTTACTCCAAGTCAATAAAGCCAAAGCAAAAATGTAGCAAAGACTTGCTGAAAGCTATACTCGAGCTGTAAAGTAAATAATAAGTAGATAAAAAATCTCAAGGGACCAGTTATTACAGTTTTGAGGAGGTAAGTCAATTTCTTTCTGGAGAAGTCAACTTTTGTGGAGATTGCCTGCCTTCAAAGAAGATTACCAAGTGTGAGAAGGAAGGAGTTAGTCAGGATTATATGAAATCTATGCCCCAGCAATGTCCATGAATAGAAAATAACAGCAATATCCACATTGATCATTAGGTTTCACCATCAGTTTCCCATGTCTCTATCTTAAGGATTCATATAAGTCTAGAATGTTAAGAGCTGGAAGCAACTTTAAAGTTCAATGAGTTTAATTGTCTAATTTCACAGACAAAGAAAGTAAGGCCAAGATGTTTATCTAGCATCCTACAGAGAATACAGTTGGCATGTGTTGGGAAAAGAGACTGAATGTAAAAGGTGTGATGGGAAGAAAAATGGTCCCCCAAAGATATCCACACCTGGAACCTGTGAATATGTTACCTTATTTGGCAAAGGGGATTTTAAAGATATGAAGAAGGTTTAGGACCATGAAATGGTGAGATTACCTATATATCCAGATGGGCCAAATCTAAACACATGAGTCCTTAAAAGCAGAAGAGAAAAGCAAAACAGTAGATCAAAGAGATTCAACACGAGGAGGATTCCACCTGCCTTTGCTGCCATTGAAGATGGCACACTGAGGCCATGAACTAAGAAATGTAGTGGTCTAGAAACTGGGATTGGCTCTCAGTTACAGGGAGCAAGGAAATAGGAACTTCAATTGTGCAAACTCAAGGAACTAAATCCTGCCAGGAACCTGAATGAGCAGGAAATGTATTCTCCCCCAGAACCCCTAGAAAGGAACGCAGCCTACTGACAAATTGACTTTAGCCTGGTGAGCCCACACTAGACTTCTGATCTACAGAACTTTATTATTACTTTTTTTTCCTTTTTCTCTCCAAAGCCCCGCAGTACATGGTTGCATATTCTTCATTGTGGGTCCTTCTAGTTGTGGCATGTGGGACGCTGCCTCAGCGTGGTTTGATGAGCAGTGCCATGTCCGCGCCCAGGATTCGAACCAACGAAACACTGGGCCGCCTGCAGCACAGCGTGAGAACTTAACCACTCGGCCACTGGGCCAGGCCCCTGATCTACAGAACTTTAATGTAATAAGTTTGTGTTGTTTCAAGCCACTAAGTTTGTAGTAATTTGCTTTGGCAGCAATAGAAAACTAGTACAAAAAACCTTCAGATTTAGTGACTTATAGTTTAAAAAAAATGACAACTTCCTTATTGAACGTGCTTGAATGTGTAAAACAGCTTTCCTTTAGTTGGAGTAACGCCAAATCTACACTGTCATTCCAAAATCACTGGATATGTTTCATGTTCTTGCCTTAAAGTATGAGAAAGTACACAGTGGTGATTGTAATAATTCCTGCTTCTATAGTTGGGTATTTAAAACATTTTGTGATTCACCATTGGCCTTACAGTTGAGGTACAGCAGAAAGAACATCACTGTTCTTGGAGTCAGATGCTCTAGGTTTGAATCCTGATACATGCTACTGGTGGGCTCTTTGACCAGGAAATCAC